TTGGTATTATAATAATATACTTTTTAAGAGACTCTAATATATGAGATTGACTTGTGTTGTAACTCGCTCTCATTATTGGATCCTTAGAAAAAATGTGGATCTTTCGGGTTCTCTCTCGGGGTGTGCCCGACGGACACCGCTCGCTGTAGTTGCTTTCGGGGTGCTTAGTGTCTGGTGGAAGACGAGCACCTCCGTAAGTATGCTATTTCGGGCGGTTCTGTCACAGGTGCGACCGTGTGAGGCGCGAGGCGGGTCTGTCCCGTCCGAACTGACGGACACCCTGATAGGAGCATTACCGAAGTCGATGTAGATAGATTTGTAATCAAATGTAGTGTCCAATGATTATAAGTTTATAATCACAAGAAAAAATATGTAAAATAAATAAGTGGCCAAAGTGTTATTTAGGATATCGTACTCGTTCCAGGTTCCATATAAAATAGGATGATGCAAGTACTATTTGACACCGTGCATGTACAACCGTTATCAGCAGGTTCTAGCGTCATATGTGGGCCCACCTATCCTTCTCTATTTAGTTATCTTGCTCATTTTTTATTTTATTAGAATTAGATAACGGGGACATAAGTTTTGCCACACATGTGGCTTGCGCGGCTTAGACGAGCATATTAAATATCTACAAATCTAATCTCATCTTAGAACTACACCAAGCTCAAATCATTTACATGCACAAATCATGTGGTCAATAAATCTATCAATTACATGCACAAATATGGTCTCACGAAACATCACCTTATTTAGATCAGCGGATTAGCTGTGTCATTAATTTTAGAGACACATGTCATTCATCAAAAGTAGAGGTAGATTTGGACCTGGATCCATGCAATTTTGTTCCAGTCAGAGCCTTGTAATATGAATTTGATAGCCTCCTTCCCCTGGCGGTGGTGGACCCTGGACCTTGTAGCTTGGACCCGACATTCTCGCACCGGTGGCGGAGAGATGCACAATGTTAAAGGCCAGGCACCGGTGGCGTGTGCGGCGTGCGGCGACAGCTGGGGAGGTGCGGTCGCCTTCGGCCCACGCCGCGGCGACGCACGACAATAGGGCCTCGTGAGGGCAGCACCTTGGTCTAGACGACTAGACCCGTGCGACCTCGCTAGACACACGGTTGTCGCCTGCCTCCTGGAGAACGCCGCCATGGACGGTGATCGTTCGGGGCCTGCCATGGTGGTCGCTACCGAGGACTCTCATCGCCAGAAGGCTCGGTACACGCCTACCCCACTGCCTGACGCTCCCTGCCACCATCACTCTGGCACCGCCCGATGCCCTGGCCACCGTCTCCCACTCTCCCCTGCCTCTTGCTCCACACGACGCTCCTGTTCGGGTATCTCGGTTACGCGAGAAAGAAGACCGAACACCCGATACATATACATATATATATATATATATATATATATATATATATATATATATATATATATATATATATATATATAGTAAGCATGTCCGTGCGTTGCAACAGGATCCAATAAACTAAAAGTTATAGCATGGGCCATGAGTTCGAGTCAAAAAAATCAAATTAACTTAGTCATAAAAATCTTTGTTTCTTAAGGGATCAAAGATTAAAATGGATGTGATCTCTTATTTATTGTTCGTTTTTACTCTTATTATATTTATTAGAACAAGAAAAAAACCAGGTGAAGAAAACAATGAAAACAAAATCAGAAAAGTCAAGCTACTCGAAGCAAGTAAAAACGGACAAACCAGAAAATAGTAAAAAAAAAGAACAGAAAAGGAGCTAAATAAAGAAGTTATACCCTTCTTTCCTCTTTATTACATTTCTATTCTTATATTTTTGCATTTAGATTAAGATTCCTATTCCGGTTACTCGGAGTTGGAAAGATCTAATTGAATTAAGATTCCTATTTATCCATATTATTATATTTTTCCTATTTGGATTAAGATTCATATTCACCCGAAATCGGAGAGATCTAATTAGATTATGATTCCTAGTTATATAAAGAGAACAGCTATTGACGGTTTTCCACATTCACAAAGTTAGTTAAAGGATGGCCGGACCAAAAAATAGGTGGAGATAAATTTTGCCTCTTTATTATTACTAACAAATATACCCGTGCGTTGTAACGGGAGAAAAAAAGTATACATTCACGAAAACGAGGATCAAAATAATACATACCTATTTGTGTTTTGCTCTTTGTATAAAAAAGATATAATTTTGTTTTATGATAACTATGACATCCATGATATAAGCTAATTTGGCATTAATATGACGATATCTTATTAAAGATGTATCAGATTTGAAATACAACCTTGATAGTTTATATTGATTAGCTAGACCATCGATCGAACCAGGTTGTAATAAAATAGTTGTATTTTCAATCAAAACTACATCAACAATCAGTTGGTTCAAAATTACGAAATATTATTTTTATTATTTTTTTGATATTTATGGGAAAAAAATAGAATAAGAGGTGAAAATGGCCGCTAAGGAAACGCCGAACGTGGGAAAAGAAACGGACCTATGGAAGCCAACTAAAACCGGACTCACCAAAATTGGACTCAGGAACGGACTCACGGAACACATAAAAAAATGAAACGGACTCACGGAATCATGGAAGAAAGCCAAAATCGGATTTTGAAACACAACCGGACGCGGCGTATATATATAGATTGCATCTGACTTGTTCGCATGAGTAGTTAAAGTAGTTGAGGGAGGCAGAAAAAAATAGAATGAAAACTGACGATAAGGTGACAAAAGATTGTACTGTTGTCATGTTTAGAAGACCATCAGATTTAATTATTTTCTCTGTAGGCTTACTTTCAGGGGTATTTCGAATTTCTCTATGGGTTTACTATAAAATATCTTTGTCAGTTAACCGCCAAGGAAATATTGATTGTTCTGTCAGTCCAATGGAACACTCCCGTGTGTTTCCCTTCACGGAAATTATATTTTTTCTATCAAAACAACACCATCAAAGAAATTGGTAGCTGGAAGGAAATTGTCACATGTGTTACATGTTCTAATACATATTCAATCCAAGTACAAATTTACCAATTTTTTATGTATAACTTACTTTCATAGCTTATACAATAGAAGTTCCAATAATTACAAAGAATTTAACATCAACCAACATATCGATGTTTTGGCCCTCACAAAGTACCAGTCCATCTACCACATCTAACATTCTGCAACTAAGTTAGGAAGCACATTTTTCATATTGGCACACTGGGGTCGATACCCATTTTCCATAGAGGCACAACTCACTGACCTGTCCTTCACTTACTCCATCCCTAAATAAACAAAACAAAAATAGTTGAAGGCTTCATCCAAGAGTTACCTAAATAAGTCAAGCACATACCTATAAATTAGAATCCTAGCGAGCTTTGAGCCAGTCCTCTTATAGAATGAAGTCAGCAACTCCCTGCAGCGCATAATTTAGAGACACCTTAATTTAAAACTATCGCCTCTTCATTCACAGCTCTTATGAACACAAAGGATACAAATTACATTATCATTCTACCATTTACTGAAGTGCCCTTCTCTGGATCTGTACCAGTCCAGAAGAGATTCCACATCATCTCCTCCCTATGTGTTTAGGCCAGAGCTATATATGTTGTGACTTGTGGCCAGTCCATGAATGCAACCACCTGCAAAAGGTTGCACCATCTATTCCATTGCTTTGTGTCGTGACATTTCCATGCATTGGGAGTTAATCTTCAAATGTGGAGTGAAATTTTACTTTTAAATTCATAAAGAATTTGAACAAAACAATTGTTAGCAGAGAACAAGAAACGAACAGCTGCAATAGAAGCCGAGGAATCTTCTCCTGCTATGGGTAACATCAGCACATAAATGATTGTTTGGCACATCTAAGACAAAAGGTATTCCATTAGGCCCAAAGGCTCGCTCAAGCACTGTATTTTGCCCTCCAACCTGATAAAACGTAAGAATAAATTTCAATTTCCATATAACAACTGAAGCACAGATTTTCAAGGATGCACATACCATAATGACCAGTAACATCCGGAAGAATCAAAATAAGTAGCTGCAAATTCGTAGCCCTCATGTGAACATCCCTTAAAGCAGCTTATGTGTGATTGGGTGAGGCTAACTGAACTTCTGTCACAGGCATTGGATTAAAATCTTGAAATAACATTGACATCAAATATGGGTTGTGTATAGAAATCACAAAGATGCAAATATGGGTCGAGTCAAATATGTATGGAGCACAAAAAAACTACCTTCCAATCAAACATTAATTAAGAGATAAACATCATACATTTCTTGCATACATAAGACACACAAACCACAGATTTCAGCAAATAAAACCCTGGACCAAATCGAGCAATAATTACAAACGCTAGAAGTGCAGTGCTACTGATCAGGTAGGTAAGTTGTCTGGTAAATAAATTCAGAATCGCAAGCTGTCATTCACTCATCCGTCTGTTTAATCTTCTTTTTGTTTGATAAACATGCTGAAATTCATCCATGCTTGCTGGTTAATTGAGTTAATTAGTATTCGTGCAGAGTTGCACACTAAACCTTTTAGAGTCATATGCACAAAGAGACATATCCACATAGAGTCGCATACTAAAATTTTTTACTTGCAAGCCTCACAGTTTAGTAATAACAAGAATATTGTACTCCGATAAATACAATACAATCTACATATATATAACTTGGTTCTGACACATCACAATTCCAAAACCCAGCTAAGATCCACAATAGAAGATGAAAGGCGCAGAACAAAATTACCTGTTCTTCTCTAAAACATTTTTCCCCAATGGACGGATGCTTGTGATTGTCGTCGGCATCGTATTTCGATTCTCTGTTGTCAATTCCAATCCGGCGAGACCAAGATTCAAACTTGGCGGGTTCAGGAAACAAAGATTAAATTTGTTTTAACAAGAAAGATTCGTGAGCTAATATATAAGAGGGAAAAAAAGGCAAAATAGAGAAACCTGTATCGAACACATTATGGAAAAAAAGTGAAGTTTGTGTCGAACGTGGAGTCATGTCGAACTTACCATGGATTTTTCCCCGATCTAAGCTGGTGCCCCAATCCGAGCTGGTGGCTGGCTGGCTGCCTGGCTGGCTCCTCTGTGGCAGCACCTGCCGTAGGAGACCAACGCCCGCGCCACGGCGATTCTTTCTCCGCCGGATGGAGTTCCGCATCTGTCAGCTCCGACTGGTGGTCCTGCCTTCGCGCCAGTTGGTCGACGCCTCCATTGTCGTCCGCGCCTCCGTTCTTCCTCGCTTTGAGCTCCTCGGCCTCGGCCCTGCGCGCGGGCGGAAGGAGAGGCCGCGCTGAGGACCGGCGGCGCTGGGAGCGGAGGAACGGCGGCCTCGGCCCTGCACGCAGATGGGAGGACCAGCGGTGCTGCCTGCGGATGAGAGGACCGGCGGCGCTGCGCACCGATGGGAGAAGCGGCGGCCATCCAGGGAGCGCCGAGGTTGCGGCGGCCATCCAGACGAGAGAATATATTATTTCGTACCCGGGTTTATATAGAGAGAGTATATACACTTACTGATTAAGTTTACTTTTGGCCTCTTTACTATTTGGTTGGTCTAATTTTAACCTTCAACTATAAAACCATCTAGTACCGGTACCCCAACTATCAAAACCGTTCACTTTTAGCACATGGGCGGGGCAAGGCTGTTTTGACCGACTGTCAGTGTTTCGAGTTACCACCAACGAGTAAATTTCTAATATTGCGCGTCTAACTCGGATGATGTGCTTAGAGGACACGAGATTTATACTGGTTCGGACAGAAAGTCACTACGTCCCGTTCGTTGTTGCTGCTCGTGTTACTGGCACTGCAAGTTTGTAATAAGGGTACAAATGGACGAGAGAGGGACATGTCTCAAGTATCTAGTGAAATGAGTGAAAGGATGCTGAGAGCTCGGTTGCTACTCTTGTGTGTATCTGGATCTGATCGGTTCGGGGTCGGATCGGGTCTCCTTCATGGGATGTCCTGCTTTCTCTTTTATAGGCCAAGGGAAAGCATGGGTTACAGCATATGAAAATAGAACAACGAGAAATTGAAGGAGTCCTTCAGGATTGCCGGATCCTTCTTATCCTTCGTGCGGGTCCTGCCGATCCTGTAGATGTCAACAGGGACAGCTCCACGTCGTGGCCCTGTCCGTCACTGGTGCTAAGCGCATGCGTCGTCTGCTGGTCATGTCATTTCATTCCATCGTAGCGGACGTCGTGGTGAGCTGACACGCCTGCCAGTGTTCGTATGGGGGTTAGGCAGAACAGTACCGGTACGCCCAACGCTGTTCCTGATGTGAATCCTTAGGTATGGCCCGTCGTGGCCACGGGTTATATCGGGGCATGTCGGTCTCTTCTTTGGTGTTAGAGTTTTGACCCAGACCCATACGCTTGGACCTGGAGTACTTAACGGTGGTATGGGTCTCCGTCGGGCGAGGCGAAGCCCGCGACCTTGGGGTCAAGCGAGGTGGAGCCCGTGGCCGCGGGGTCAGGCGAGGCGGAGCTTGCGCGCCTAGGGTCGGTTGGAGCTGTAGTCGCGCTCTTGACTACTCAGATGAATCAATGTTGATGGTCATTAGCTCCTCCTATTCGGGTACCATAGTATTGGTCCCCGAAAGTAGCCCCCGAGTCTGTGGAGGAGTAGAATACTTCTTCGGAGGCTTTTCCAAACAGGAGGATTCTGAGGGCCTTGGCCTTCTTTTGTTGCCCACGGCGTGACCTGGGGACAGTGATTCTCTTTCATCGTGATCGGACCCCTCGGGGGTATAGCCGTGAGATTTGGTGGGTCGAAAAATGTCTTTTCCTAATTTGGACCCCTACGGGTGTCTGTCGTTCTGCGACCGTGCGTTCGGTCTTCGTGCGAGTCCAACTTTCCTTGAGCCATCGCCCGTAGCAGGGGTCCGGTCGAGGGTCGGCTCGTCTTTATGATCGTCTTCCCTCAAGCGTTTTTTCTGATAAAAATAGAGGGGCTGAGCCATGCCATGATTTTTGTCTATGGACGAATCATGGTGCTCGGTGAGCTGTTAACGGGCTGGTCCGAGTGGGGCTCCAACATCTCGTTCGCGGGGATCCGGCTTGGGTCAGCTGGTGACCAACTCCAGGTTCTCAGCGGTCAATCCATATAGTTCTTGGGTCCATTCGACCGGTCCCGAGGGCTTTCTGCCTTCCTTCGAGGAAAAACCATGGATCGTATCTGGTCGAGACTCGAACGTGGGCCAAGATGCCCACAACGCTCATGTGCCCGGGTACCAGCCGCTAGCGGGCCTATCCCTTTCCATCCCTCACTCTAAAGGTGCCTAGAGCGGTTATCGAACCCATCGGTGGACCAACCTTCGAACTTCTAAGCCTAGACGGGCCATAGGAGTGTTTTCAGCTCCATATCGCTCTTACCTATGACGGGTCGTGGCCTGTTCGGAGGGGCGAAATGTTCGACGAGTTTTTCGAGGGGACGGCCATAGGTTGCGTGCGCATGCCCCGCGACAAGATGTGGTGACAGGTCGTGGCAGGCGTGGAGATCTAGGCTAATGGTTGGTTTCCTCGCACCCATCGCCCCTATAAAACCAAAGGTTTAGCCCTCCGGGTTCCATACGTTGCATTCTTGCCTCCGTAGCCACGCCGCCACCGCCATCGCTTAGGTTTTCTGCCTCCACATCTCCGCCATCGTTGAGCCCACATCCATCCGCCCCCACCTCCAATGGATCCATGGTGCCATTCTGACATCACCTTCCAGCGCATGGAGGGCCTCGTCCATCGCGGTCTTCTCCACGCGCGGACCTCGGCCGAGGAGTGGTTGCTTTCTGACGACAAGAATTTGCCGTCATCGCCCGACGGCTACGTGATGTCATTCTCCCACTTCCATGAGCATGGGCTTGCGACCCCCACCCACAAATTCCTTTGGGGGCTGCTGCACTACTACAAGATTGAGCTACAACATCTCAATCCCAACGGAATCCAGCATATGGCGGCGTTCATCACGCAGTGCGAGAGATTCCTGGGGATTAGCCCCCACTTTGACTTGTGGAGGCATTTCTTCACCATCAACCTCCAAAAGAAGAGGGAGAAAAGCGGCAGATAGGAACTGCACATGTCGATGGGGTGCACCGGCATCCAACTTTGAAACAATCGGGTCGGCGAGTACCCATCCATGTGGCTCTCGATGTCCAATAAGGGGTGACACTCGCAATGGTTCTACCTCAAGAATGACGCCGCTGCCCCTCTACCAGAGTTCACTGGGCGCCTGATCGAACAGGCCCCGGATCAGTGGAGGAAGTGGGGTATTCTGGAGAAGGACAAGAAGAAGATCCGAGAGCATATCGCCGCCATCCACATCCTAAAGGAGAACAGCCTGAAGGGGTCGGGCGTCATTGGGGCTTACCACGCAAGGAGGGTGGCACCGTTGATGATGCACGCGCTCCCGCTATATGCGATGGCGCCCGAGGCGTCGTTCGACGGAACGGCGCTCGCCGAGGTCCCCAACTCTGAGATCACGCAACGCATCAAGGAGGCGATGGAGCCTTTACGCGACGACGCGGGTGCCGCCCTCGACTTCATATACTCAGTGCCGAGGCATCCTCTGATGCGGCCGGAGCCAGGCTACGTCATCTTTGTAAGTTTCTCTTTCTCTTGCCTTCTCTTTAATTGATTTCTCGACCTTGTGATACTAACTTTGAGAGGGGCGGGACCAGCCGAGGGATCTCATCCTCATAGACCACCCAACACCGCTGCCAAGGGATTCGGCCGTGAGGACGACGAATCGCGCCGAGGGAGAACAGCTGAGGAAGGCGAAGGAGGACAAGAAGAGGAAGAAGCAGCGAAAGATGAGATGATAGCCGACGATATTGAGTGGGACAACCTCGAGAACGAGGATGCGCTGATAGGCGTCGGTTCGTCCTTGCAGGCATCAGGACCCTTCCCGTTCCATGGAGGGGAGGGCACGTCTGGGGAGCCGGCGAAGGCGAGCCATACCGTGGGCGCCCCCCAGGAACTGGCGGAGGTGGGGCATACCGTCAGCCTACCCTAGGAGCCAATGGAGGCGGGTGGCTCTGCCATCGCGCCTCAAGATCCAAGGGGAGCGAGCCCCTCTGCCCAGGTGCAGGGGGCGGGCTCGAAATGGCCTCATCTCGATGAGGCGGAGCGAGGGTCGGGGGATTCACCTCCCAAACGTATCTGCCGCTCAATGGTGTTGAGGTGAGTGATCAATTCCTCTGTTTTTCTCCTATTTTAGTCATATTTCATCGTGACTTGTGTTTTTCGTCCCTTGCAGTGTCGGCAGGCAGCGAAATCCTTTGGCGCTGGCGCCTAAGAAGAGCATCGCCCTCTAATCGAGGCGGCAGCCATCGGCTGGTGTCGTACCCATTTCGGGCAGGAGCGGAGCTAGTGTGACTGCGTCATCGGCCGATCGAGCGCCGCCCACAATGGCGCCCGTGCCCTCAGCGAGATGGGCAGACACGGGCGCTCAAGGGGCGCCCTTAGAGGTTGTGGAGCAGCCGGTGATGGCCGCGATACCACTGCTAACGGTGGGGCAGACGGGGTTGCCGATCGTGCTCGTGGTGCTGACCGTGGCGGGTGCGACGCAGCCGTTCATGACCCCACCGACACAGGTGGAGGTGGCGGCGGCCGTGATAGACGGGTCACAGCCGGTCGCAACCACAGCGGTGCTTGAGGCACCGGCGCGACCCGTGCCATCGGTGGCCCAAGCTACGGCGCCTGGCTTGGGCCGGACGGAGGGGGACGCGGCCAAGGGATCCCCGAGAGTCGTTGTGCTAGGAGAGAGGTTGGCGTTCACACTGCTAACCCCTTCCGTCGCTGAAGGGGGCGTCCTGATGGGGACATCACGGCGAGAGGAGTCGGTGGCGCTTGGAGCCGGCGGGGAGTCATCCCTGGACCTAACATCGGTGGACAGCGGCTCACCCGTGCGGGGCAAGCCCCTGCTCCAGTTGGTGGATCCGTAGGATCTGGCGTCGACACTTTTCACCCTCACCGCTGCCACAGAGAGCATGGAGTAGGAGAGCCTTGACATAGGGATCACGTCTATGCTCAAAGCCCTAAACCACGCTACTGGTGCATTGTGCAACGTTGTTGTTCCCTCCGGTCGGGTATTGTTTGGTCCTGCTTCTTCCGCTTATCTTCCTTTATATACTTTTTGTATCTTGACCATTGTCTTTCTGTAGTCCCTTATAGCTCGTAGCCGGGGGAAATCTCAGTTCCTTTGTCAACCAAAGGAAACCTAGGACTGCCTCGTCGAGGAGGTGTGACTATGTGGGGGTGATAGCTCAGCTTGTTGCCACCCAGTAGAGGGTGGCCGAGCTGACTCCCCTCATCGAGGAGGCGGCCAATCTTTAGTCACGGGTGGCCAAGGCCCATCGGGATGCTGATGAGGCCGAGAAGGCATTCGAGGCCCTGTCAGCGAGGTCGTAGAAGGATGATGAAGAAGCCACCAGGGTTAGGAAGGAGCAGGATGAGTTGCTCCAGAA